GGTCAGTGAGCCTCAGGACCAGCTGGCTCAGGGGGCTCTTCTCTGTGTGTTTGTGTGTCCCAGTGGGTGAGGTAGTGTGAGTGTGAGTGTGAGTGGGTCAGGCAGTGCTGTGAGTGTGAGTGTGAGTGTGAGTGGGTCAGGCAGTGCTGTGTGTATGTGTTGTCTGGTGGGTGTCAGTGAGCCTCAGGACCAGCTGGCTCAGGGGGCTCTTCTCTGGGCTCAGCTCTTGGCTCAGCAGGGCCTTGTGGTGGCAGGAATTTTGGTCGCTGTTTTATGTGCAGCCAATACTTTAATACTCTCTCTCTCTCTCTCCCTCTGTCTGTCTCTCTGTCTCTCTCCGAGTCTCTGTGACACTTCGGAGGTGCTCTGTGGGTGAGACTCTCATGAGCAGCACCCCCAGTGAAACTCTCCCCCTGTCGCCTGCAGGTGGCGCTCTTCACATTCCTGTCCCTGTCCCTCTACACCGTGCTGCCCCTGTCTCTCTCCTGGGCCCTGCTGTTCGGCGTCGGCACCTCGCTCTCCCACGTGCTCATCATCAGCGTGTTCGTGCCCGTCCGCAGCCCCAAGACTCCAGACCTCGCTGTGCAGGTACTGGGCCCATCCAGCTCCCAGCTCCACAGCCCCACAGCTCCCAGCTCCACAGGTCCACAGCTCCCAGCTCCCCGAATCAGGGGCAATAAGTAAATCATTCACTACCCTGACGAGCAGTCTGAGTGCTGTGAAACATGTCATTAAATGTCATACGTGCCTGTAGCCAATGTGCACCCACACGTCCTAAAACCTTCGATAGACATGGTAAAGTAGAGATTGGTCTGTAGCTCAGGCCAATTAGACTTGTAGGTGTTCGTTATACCCCTGAATGTGCACCACTAGGCCGGATTTTTGTGCTCCAGCTAGTTTCAGATTGCGAAGTTCGGGGGTGTACCATGGAGGGGAGCACTAATAGTGCATTTACGTCTCGCTGAAGAAAGAGGGACACAGACATCAATGAATACAGCTTTGTGATCAGAAATGTATAGGTCAATGATTTGTACATCTCTGTGTGTCTCAGGGTTTTGACTAGTTATGTCTGTGTTTGTGTCTCTGAGTATTTGACTGGTTATGTCTGTGTGTGCTTCTCAGTTTGGTTGACTTGTTTGACTGGTTATATCTGTGTGCATCTCAGTGTGTTTGATTAGTTATGTCTGTGTTGTGTCTCACTGTGTTTAATTGGTTATGTCTTTGTGTGTGCCAGTGTGTTTGATGGGTTGTATTTGTCTGTGTGTCAGTTTGTTCCACTAGGTATTTCTGTTTGTGTCTCAGTATGTTTGACTGGTTATGTCTATGTGTGTCGGTGTGTTTGACGGGTTATATATGTGTGTGTCTCAGTGTGTTCGACTGGTTACATTTTTGTATGTGTCAGTGTTTGACTAGTTATGTCTACATGTGTAGACAGTAGACTACGTGACAGTATGTCTACGTGTGTATCAGTGTGTTTGGCTAGTTATGTCTGTGTTTGTCTTAGTGTGTTTGATTAGTAACGTCTGTGTTAGTGTCTCACTGTGTTTAATTGGTTATGTCTTTGTGTGTGCCAGTGTGTTTGATGGGTTATATTTGTCTGTGTCTCAGTTTGTTCCACTAGGTATTTCTGTTTGTGTCTCAGTATGTTTGACTGGTTATGTCTATGTGTGTCGGTGTGTTTGACGGGTTATATATGTGTGTGTCTCAGTATGTTTGACTAGTTATGTCTACGTGTGTAGACAGTAGACTACGTGTCAGTATGTCTACGTGTGTATCAGTGTGTTTGGCTAGTTATGTCTGTGTTTGGCTTAGTGTGTTTGTCTGGTTATGTCTGTGTCTGTGTTTGACTTGGCTATATCTGTTTGTGTTAGTGTTTGACTGGTTGTGTTTCTGTCTGTCAGAGTGTGTTTGATTGTGTCTGTATGTGTCAGTGTGCTTGACTAGTTACATCTTTGTGTTACTGCATTTGACTGGTTAGCATCAGTGGTGTGATGGCTTAAGTGATTGACTTATAACCCTGAGGTCAGGTGTTCAAATCCAGCTGTCTCCATGAGTTTTCTTTGGGGCGGAGCGCTGGCTCGCGGGCTCAGGATCTGCGCCTGTGGCTGGGAGGTTGCCGGTTTGAATCCCGCGGCCGGCAGAGGAATCCTACTCCGCTGGGCCCCTGAGCGAGGCCCTGAACCCCAGCTGCTCCAGGGGTGCTGTATAAATGGCTGACCCTGCGCTGTGACCCCCAGCTTCTCTCCCTGTCTGTGTGTCTCATGGAGAGCAAGCTGGGGTCTGTGAAAAGACACATTCCTGATGCAAGAGATTGTAAAGGGACAGTGAAGTGATGTTGTTGTTGTTGTTTATATCTTTCGTTTGTCTCAGTGCATTTTACTTCCCTCTGTATGTTTTGTGATTACTGGAATTTGTAAAACATTGAAAGGTTAAATGCAAATAATCTGCAAATTAGAGAGAAGGATCTTTATGAAATAGACATTGTTCCTGCAGGGAAATGAGCTGTTCCTTTATTTATCTCTGATTATAAAACAAGTAATAATGTAGCTAATGACTACAGTGCTTTGTTTCTCTCAGTGCAGTGTTATTGTACTGAAGTGTCCAGTCAGTGTGTCTGTATGAACCCCTCTCTCTCAGTGCAGTGTTAATGTACTGGAGTGTCCAGTCAGTCAGTGTGTCTGTATGAACCCCTCT